GGAGCGAGGGTTGAAGGAAGCAGGGCCGAGCGTTTCTGTAATATGTTAGCTACATTTTGTAGTTTGACCTTTCACGTTTACACGGTATGAACTCTAACAACATATAATAGTAATATGTTAGCTACATTTGTTATAGTTTGACCTTTTGCATATACTATTGTGAAATATTTGAGGTTTTTGTCCATTGYTTAGGTCTTCCAAGAASAGCCTRGAGAACCASGACGGGTAGCTACTTGGAATATCTAAAAGATGATTGTTGGGCCATTTTTTGTTGGGTTAGTAGTTACTTGGTATAGTTTGTTTATGTACGGGATTGATGGACATGAAAACCTTCGTTCATGTATATATAATTTACTATATGTATATACTTTATATTTGTAGGTGGGTTGGTGTATTAATGGATATATATGTTCTTGTATGTAAAATACGTTACAATTGGCAGGCACAGGTACAACTATGGAAAGCGATTTTTAGAAATATTTCAAAACATGCTTATATGAAAAGTTACATTTATAAATGTCAACAAAATAGGTTTCGTGACAAAAAAAATAAAAAATTAAAACTGTTTCTTGACAATTAAATGTTGACATTATCAAGTACATCATGATAGTTCTAAATTGTCGTTGTAAACCTTTACGTGACATTTATCGAATGTCATTATTTAATGTTGCATGACATTTTTAAGTTGTCACTATACAATTTTTCGTGATTGTTAAAACTGGCAATATTGACTATCAAAACTATCACTACAAAAGTTTTCATGACAGTTATAAATAATCGTTAAAAAAAATCATGTCAATCTTTAGCTGTCGTTAAAAACTAGTTAATGACAATTTATAAATTGTCGTCTTTAGGTATTTATTGACAGAATGACAAAAATATTTGATTGTTTTAGTGACACTTATAAATTGTAATTAAATGACTTTCCATGACATTTATTAATTGTGATGGAAAATCTATTCATGACAAAGTATAACTGTAATTGAAAATGCATTGATGACAATTTTTCAAATTTGTCATCTTCTCCTCTTTCTTGATGCCTTAATAGATGACAATTACATAATTGTCATGAATGATGTTAATGACAGAATTTAACTGTCATTGAAGACCGACTTTCTACTAGTGTTTGGAAAGAAAACAAAAAGGAATTTCTTGATTTTTGCGAGATTATGAGAGAGAGAGGTTGTTGTTTGCAATATAGTTTTGTCCAGGGAAAAACCAACCAAAACACAGAACTCCTGTGTTTTTTTAACAACAGGGAGGAGGGAGGAGGGAGGAGGGAGGAGGGAGGAGGGATGAGAGAGGAGGGGAAGTAATCTCCTCAATGCTCGGAAGTGGTAGTTTTGTTAATTACGATAAAAACATAATTAACAAAACTAATATATATATATTTATTTAATATATATTTAATTTAATAAAACAATTAAATTTAATTAATAATTAATTAAATCTTATTTAATTAATTAATTAGATAAATATAATTTAATTAAATCAAATGATATTTGAATCATATTCAAAATATACACTTCCCTCATAACCTATAGTATTTAATATGAGTCTAATTCATATTAAACTTCAACCTATAATATTTAATAGGAATCTAATTCACATTAAACTTTAATCTATAGTTTCCATATGAATCTAATTCATATTATTCTCTCATAATATATGGTTCTATGATGTATCATCATACATTATATTAAATTGTGTGATACACAATTAACTCAAATTCTCTTTACTTAAATTTCAACAATTCAAATTTCTTCCAAGACTTAATGTTTTTAATTACTTTTTACGAGCTAGCAAGGGGAACTAATGGACCTATAGATCAGAAGCTTCAACGTTAAGAGATTAATTGGTTAAACTCATTAACCACCTTATCAACATACGTTAACTACATGTTACTCCACTAAAAACCCGCAGCTGAACTCTTCTCACTATAGAATATTTCTGTGTCCATGGAAATCGACCATTAACAGCAAGTCAGTCCTTCTCGAGTGTCTGTAACCACAAATGGATCAAATTATCGTTTTTCCCTCTGTTACATTTTGTACCTTAAATACCGTTGATCCTCTAATGAACAATTTAGTTATGGTCCGACCAGTAACCGAAAGTCCCTCTCGGGCCAGTGAGTGGGTGGGGCCCATTGTTCAAGTTCCGGAGTAAGCACTAAAGGGAACACTCCTCTACTCTCCTAAAGTCAGGGAGGAGTGAATGTCATCTTGTGTAGTTATGTTCCCAGCTCCCCACTCGGCCTCGTCCCCAAAATGGTGGGAATGTTGAGTCGGCGACTCGGGCCACTCTCACCCATACAAATCAAAAAACGAGTGCTCACGGGCAGGAGTCCATAACTCACTCAAGATTGAGAATGAGTTGTCTGGTCATCCTATGAAATAGCAAACTGTTAGTCAACAACATTACATCTAAAGATTTGCGATTTCGTGGTCTGGTCTAATACAAAATTATTGTATAGGATACCTTCACTCCCATATCTCTATACACACGACCTGGATTGAGTCGTATGTAACATTTACAAAGTGGGTTGTATCCATAGTGTTGCCAGGATAAGGTACCCAGCCTTATCCATATACCATAGACCCTTTAGGTTATTCCTGGGACATTATCCACTTGTATATCGAAAATATATCAAATATATACCAAATATATATACTATCCCAATTACATGACAATAACCTTGGATGTTTAGTTTATTAGATTAGATAATTGCAATGTTATGAATTCAACAACAAATTTATTGAATATAACTTTATCAAATATAAATTTGTTTTTACATAAATACAAACTACGAGTTTAGGGCAACACACCCAACACAGGTAAAGGAAGTGGTTTAGATACATTGTTAAAATACATGGTTAAGATACACTTAACATGACCCCGCAAACTTATGATACCTTTGACAGAGACAAAAGTTTGGAGGATAAAAGATGAAACCGATCTATTGTGTGAGRCTTTGTAAATAATTCTGCAAGTTGCTACTCGATAGGAACATATTGAAGGCAGAGATCCTTACGAACAACACGTTCACGAACAAAATGAAAGTAATTTCAATATATTTGGTGCGAGCATGAAAGACTGGATTAGATACCAGTCAAATAAAGGATTGGTTGTCACAGCAAAGTGTTTGGACATCCGAGAGAAAGATGCGAAGATCCTTACATAGTTGGCGAAGCCATGACAACTCAACAGTAGTTGCAGCCAACACACGATAATCGACCTCAGTGGAAGAGCGAGAAAGAATAGATTTTTTCTTGGCAGACAACGAGATAAGATTAGACCTTAGAAAGATTACATAGCCTGTGGTGGACCGACGATCAGAAAAATCGCTTGCCTAATCAAAGCAGAGAAGGCATGAAAGGAGAGAGAGTCGGGTAGAAAGCGGACCTTGATTACGAGTGCCTTTGAAATATCGGAAAATATGCTTGACAATCGCAAGACCAGTGCTAGTCGGACAGTGGATCTATTGACAAACTTTATTCACAACAAAATAAATGTTTGGTCGAGAGAATGTAAGGTACTGAAGGGCATCGCCATCTGTCGATATAATGGGCATCAGCAAGAGAGCACTGCACGAGTATAGAAGAGGAAGGACCTTTTATAGCGTCAAGAGTGAGGCACGGTTTAGCATAAGCTAAGCCAAAACGAACCAGGAGATCACGACCATATTTAATGAGAAGGTAATTGCCTGGGTGATCAATCTCACGAACAAGGAAGTATTTGAGACTTCCAAAGTCAGTCATGTCAAACGTGGTCTGAAGTTTGGAGATGAAGTGGTTAACAAAAGCAGCATCATTACTAGTGAGAATAGTGAGAATGATGTCATCCACATAGAGGGGAGATATGTAATATATCTACCAACACAACGAACAAACAAACAGGGGTCAGCATAAGAAGGAACAAAATCAAATATAGTAGTAATGTGCCTGGTGAAGCACTCATACTGGGCACGGGGGGCCTGCTTTAGACCATAGAGTGACTTGTGCAGTTTTCACAATGATGATGAAGGCCTGGATTACCTGAGGTTGGGTCATATAGACGTCCTCAGTGAGAATGTCGTGGAGAAAAACATTTTTGGCTTCGAGTTGTCGTAGGAGCCAATCAAATATGGTGGAGAGAGCCAAGATAAGGCTTACTGTTGGTTTATTGACAACGGGACTGAACGTCTCACCGTAGTCAAGGCAATGTTCCTGATGAAAGCCTTTTGCTACTAAGCGTGCTTTATAGTACGCAATGGACCGGTTAGGGCGATGCTTGATGCGATAAACCCATTTGTAACCAATGATATTCTTTCCCGGAGGTGAAGGAACCAGTGACCAAGTACCTTGTTTTTGAAGTGCAGAAAATTCATCAGCCATAGCCTCTTTGTTGGGTGTGTTGCCCTAAACTCATAGTTTGTATTCATGTAAAAATAAATTTATATTCAATACATTTTTATTCAATTAATTTGTTGTTGAATTCATAGCAATGCATTGTCTAAATCCAATCAACTAAACATCCAATGTTATTGTCAAGTAACAGGGATAGTATATATACTAGGTTTGATATACCCTCGATATACAAGTGGATAATGTCCCAGGAATAACCTGAAGGGTCTATGGTATATGGATAAGGTTGGGTACCTTACCCTGGCAACACTATGGATACGGCCCACTTTGTAAATGTTACAGACGGCTCGATCCAGGTCGTTCGTGGGAGACATCTGAGTGGGGGTAGTACAATGAGTTTGTATAAGACTGGACCACAAATAACCAATCATTAGATGTAACGTCATTGACTAACAGATTGCTATTTCATATGATGACCAGACAACTCATTCTCAATCCTGAGTGAGTTATGGACTCCTGCCCGTGAGGGCTCATTCTTTGATCTGTTTGGGTGAGAGTGGCCCGAGTCGCCAACTCAACATTCCCACCATTTTGGGGACGAGACCGAGTGGGGAGCTGAGAACATAACTATACAAGATATTGTTCACTCCTCCCCAACTTAAGGGGAGTAGATGAGTGTTCCCTTTAGTGCTGACTCCGGGGCTTGAACAAGAGGCCCCACTCTCTCACTGGTCCGAGAGGGACTTTCAGTTATTGGGTTGGACCATAACCAGGTTGTTCATTAGAGGATCAGCGGTACTAAAGGTAGATGTAACACCAGGGTAAAGCGGTAATTTGACCCATATGTGGTTACGAACACTCTTGACTGATTGGCTTGCCGTTAATAGTGGACACAGAAATACTCTGTAGTGAGAAGAGTTCAGCTGCGGGTTTTTAATGGAGTAACCTGTAGTTAACGTATGTTGATGAAGGTGATTAATGAGTTTGACCAATTAATCTCATAACGTTGGAGCTTCTTATCTATAGGTCCGTTAGGTCCCCTTGCTAGCTCGTAAAAGGTAATTAAGAATATTAAGTCTTGG